GGTACCTTTATTATTTTCAGCAGGCTAGGTAGTTGCCAAGTTTTTGTAGTAGTAAACAACAAAGCTGGATTCAAGCTAAAATGGCTGGAACTCATTTTTCTTTCTTTTTTTTAAAATTATACTTTAGGTTCTGGGGTACATGTGCAGATCATGCAGGATTGTTGCATAGATACACACATGGCAATGTGGTTTGCTGCCTCCATCCCCCTCTCACCTATATCTGGCATTTCTCCCCATGTTATTCCTCCCCAACCTCCCCCCGAACTGTCCCTCCCTTGGCTCCTCCTACAGACCCCAGTGTGTGATGCTCCCCTCCCTGTGTCCCTGTGTTCACATTGTTCAATACCCGCCTATGAGTGAGAACATGTAGTGTTTGATTTTCTGTTCTTGTGTCAGTTTGCAGAGAATGATGGTTTACAGATTCATCCATGTTCCTACAAAGGACACAAACTCATCATTTTTTATGGCTGCATAGTATTCCATGGTGTATATGTGCCACGTTTTCCTTGTCCAATCTATCTTTAATGGGCATTTGGGTTGGTTCCAGGTCTTTGCTATCATAAACAGTGCCGCTATGAACATACATGTGCATGTGTCTTTATAATAGAATGATTTATAATCCTTTGGGTATATACCCAGTAGTGGGATTGCTGGGTCAAATGGAATTTCTATTTCTAGGTCCTTGAGGAAGTGCCACACTGTCTTCCACAGTGATTGAACTAGTTTACACTCCCACCAATGGTGTAAAAGTGTTCCTGTTTCTCCACATCCTCTCCAGCATCTGTTGTCTTCAGATTTTTTAATGATTGCAATTCTAACTGGCGTGAGATGGTATCTCAATGTGGTTTTGATTTGTATTTCTCTAATAATCAGTGATGATGAGCATTTCTTCATGTTTGTTGGCCGCATATATGTCTTTTGAAAAGTGTCTGTTCATATCCTTCACCCACTTTTGGATGGGTGTGTTTGATTTTTTTTTTGTAAATCTGTTTCAGTTCTTTGTAGATTCTGGATATCAGCCCTTTGTCAGATGGGTAGATTGCAAAAAATTTTCCCATTCTGTTGGTTGCTGGTTCCCTCTAATGATTATTTCTTTTGCTGCACAGAAGCTGTGGAGTTTGATTAGGTCCCATTTGTCTATTTTGGCTTTTGTTGCCAGTGCTTTCGGTCTTTTGGTCATGAAGTCCTTGCCTATGCCTATGTCCTGAATGGTTTTGCCTAGATTTTCTTCTAGGGTTTTTATGGTGTTAGGACTTATGTTTAAGTCTTTAATCCTTCTGGAGTTAATTTTAGTGTAAGGTGTCAGGAAGGGGTCCAGTTTCTGCTTTCTGCACATGGCTAGGCAGTTTTCCCAACACCATTTATTAAATAGGGAACCCTTTCTCCATTGCTTGTTTTTGTCAGGTTCATCAAAGATCAGATGGTCGTAGATGTGTGGCGTTGCCTCCAGGGCTTCTGTTCTGTTCTATTGGTCTGTATCTCTGTTTTGGTACCAGTACCATGCTGTTTTGATTACTGTAGGCTTGTATAGTTTGAAATCAGATAGTGTGATGCCTCCAGCTTGCTTGCTTGCTTGCTTTCTTTCTTTCTTTCTTTCTTTCTTTCTTTCTTTCTTTCTTTCTTTCTTTTCTTAGGATTGTCTTGGCTATGCGGGCTCTCTTTGATTTCATTTGAAGTTTAAGGTGTTTTTTTTCTAGTTCTGTGAAGAAAGTCATTGGTAGCTTGATGGGGATAGTGTTGAATCTATGAATTACTTTGGGCAGTATGGCCATTTTCACCATACTGATTCTTCCTAACCATGAGCATGGAATGTTTCTCCATTTGTTTCTGTCATCTCTTATTTCCTTAAGCAGCAGTTTGTAGTTCTCCTTGAAGAGGTCCTTTACATCCTTTGTTAGTTGTATTCCTAGGTATTTTATTCTCTTTGTAGCAATTGTGAATGGCAGTTTGTTCTTGGTTTGGCTCTCTTTTAGTCTGTTACTGGTGTATAGAAATGCTTGTGATTTCTGCACATTGATTTTGTATCCTGAGACTTTGCTGAAGTTGCTTATCAGTTTAAGGAGATTTTGGGCTGAGATGATGGGGTCTTCTAAGTATACAATCATGTCATCTGCAAACAGACAATTTGACTTCCTCTTTTTCTAATTTAATATGCTTTATTTTTTTTTCTTGTCTATTTTCTTGGCTAGAACTTCTAACACTATATTGAATAGGAGTGGTGAGAGAGGGTATCCTTGTCTAGTGCCAGATTTCAAAGGGAATGCTTCCAGTTTTTGCCCATTCAGTATGATATTAGCTGTAGGTTTGTCATAGATAGCCTTTATTGTTTTGAGATACGTTCCTTTGAGATACGTACCTAGTTTATTGAGAGTTTTTAGCATACAGGGCTGTTGAATTTTTTCAAAGGCCTTCTCTGCATCTATTGAGATAATCATATATTTTTTGTCTTGGTTCTGTTTATGTGGTGAATTACGTTTATAGACTTGTGTGTGTTGAACCAGCCTTGCATCCCTGGGATGAAGCCTACTTGATCGTGATGGATAAGCTTTTTGATGTGCTGTTGCAATTGGTTTGCCAGTATTTTATTAAAGATTTTTGCATCTATGTTCGACATGGATGTTGGCCTTAAGTTTTCTTTTTTTGTTGAGTCTCTGCTGGGTTTTGGTATCAGGATGATGTTGGCCTCATAAAATGATTTGGGAAGGATTCCCTCTTTTTGTATTGTTTGGAATAGTTTCAGAAGGAATGGTACCAGCTCCTCTTTGTACATTTGGTAGAATTCAGCTGTGAACTCCTCTGGACCTGAACTTTTTTTGGTTGGTAGGCTATTAATTGCTGCCTCAACTTCAGCCCTTGTTATTGGTCTAGTCAAGGTTTCAATTTCTTCCTTGTTTAGGCTTGGGAGGATGCAAGTGTCCAGGAATTTATCCATTTCTTCCAAGTTTACTCGTTTACGTGCATATAGTTGTTTGCAGTAATCTCTAATTGTAGTCTGTATTTCTGTGGAATCAGTGGTGGTATCCCCTTTATTGTTTTTTATTGCATCTATTTGATTCTTCTCCCTTTTCTTTTTTATTATTCTGGCTAGTGGTCTATTTTGTTGATCTTTTCAAAAAAACAGCTCCTGGATTTATTGATTTTTTGAAGGGTTTTTTTTGTGTCTCTTATCTCCTTCAGTTCGGCTCTGATCTTAGTTGTTTCTTGTCTTCTGCTAGCTTTGGAGTTTTTTGGATCTTGCTCCTCTAGCTCTTTCAATTTTGATGATAGTGTGTCAATTTTAGATCTTTCCTCACTTCTCATGTGGGCATTTATTGCTATAACTTTCCTTCTAGACATTGCTTTAAATGTGTCCCAGAGATTCCTGTATGTTGTGTCTTCATTCTTGTTGGTTCCAAAAAACATCTTTATTTCTGCCTTCGTTTCATTGTTTATCCAGTCAACATTGAGGAACCAGTTGTTCATTTTCCATGAAGCTGTGTGGTTCTGAGTTAGTTCCTTAATTCTGAGTTCTGATTTGATTACCCTGTGGTCTGAGAGACTGTTTTGATTTCCATTCTTTTGCATTTGCTAAGGAGTGACTTACTTCAAATTATGTGGTCAATTTTAGAGTAGGTGTGATGTGGTGCTGAGAAGAATGCATATTCTGTGCATTTGGGGTGGAGATTTCTGTAGATGTCTATTAGGTCCACTTGGTCCAGATCTGAGTTCAAGTCCTGGATATCCTCGTTAATTTTCTGTCTCATTGATCTGTCTGATATTGACAGTGGAGTGTTAATGTCTCTCACTGGAATTGTGTGGGAGTCCGAGTTTCTTTGTAGGTCATTAAGAACTTGTGTTAGGTATCTGGGTGCTCCTATATTGGGTGCATATATATTTAGGATCGTTAGGTCTTCTTCATGCACTGATCCTTTTACCATTATGTAATACCCTCTTTGTCTCTTTTGATCTTTGTTGGTTTAATGTCTATTTTATCAGAGACTAGGATTGCATCTCCTGTTTTTCTTTGCTCCCCATTTGCTTGATAAATCTTTCTCCTTCCCTTTATTTTGAGCCTATGTTTGTCCTTGCATGTGAGATGGGTTTCCTGAATACAGCACACTGATGGGTCTTGACACAATTTGCCAGTCTGTGTCTTCTGATTGGGACATTTAGCCCATTTACATTTGAGGTTAATATTGTTATGTGTGAATTTGATCATGCCATTTTGATGCCAGCTGGATGTTTTGCCCATTAGTTGATGCATTGTGTCGATGGTCTTTACTATTTGGTCTGTTTTTGGAGTGGCTGGTACTGGTTGTTCCTTTCCTTGTTTAGTGTTTCTTTCAGGAGCTCATGTAAGGCAGGCCTATTGGTGATGAAATCTCTCAGCATTTGCTTGTCCATAAAGGATTTTCTTTCTCTTTCACTTATGAAGCTTAGGTTGGCTGGGTATGAAATTCTTGGTTGAAAATTCTTTTCTTTAAGGTTGTTGAATATTGGCCCTCACTCTCTTCTGGCTTGTAGGGTTTCTGCAGAGAGATCCACTGTCTGAGGTGCTTCCCTTTGTGGGTAACCCAACCTTTCTCTCTGGCTGCCCTTAGCATTTTTTCCTTCATTTCAACCCTGGTGAATCTGATGATTATATGCCTTGGGCTTGTTCTTCTTGAGGAATATCTTTGTGGTGTTCTCTGTATTTCCTGGACTTAAATGTTGGCCTGCCTTGCTAGGTTAGGGATGTTCTCCTGGATAATATCCTGAAGAGTGTTTTCCAGCTTGGATTCATTCTCTTTGTCACATTCAGTTACACCTATCAAATGTAGATTAGGTCTTTTCACATAACCTCATATTTCTTGGAGCCTTTGTTCATTTCTTTTCACTCTTTTTTCTCTAATCTTGCCTTCTCATTTTATTTCATTAAGTTGATCTTCAATCTCTGATATCTTTTCTTCTGCTTGGCCAATTCAGCTACTGAAACTTGTGTATGCTTTGCAAAGTTCTCATGCTATGGTTTTCAACTCCATCAAGTTTTTTATATTCTTCTCTGAGCTGTTTATTCTAGTTAGCATCTCATCTAACCTTTCTTCTACATTCTTAGTTTCTTTGCATTGGGTGAGCACATGTTCTTTCAGCTCTGAGAAGTTTGTTATTACCCACCTTCTGAAGCCTGTTTCTGTCAATTCATCAGATTCATTCTCCATCCATCTTTGATCCCTAGCTGGTGAGGAGTTGTGATCCTTTGGAGGAGGAGAGGCGTTCTGGTTTTTGGTGTTTTCATCCTTTTTTGCACTTGTTTCTTCCCATCTTAGTGGCTTTAGCTACCTGTGGTCTTTGTAGTTGGTGACTTTTGGGTGGAGTTTCTGAGTGGACACCCTTTTTGTTGATGATAAAGTTATTTCTTTCTGTTTCTTAGTTTTCCTTCTAACATTCAGGTACCTCTGCTGAAGGACTGCTAGAGGTCGACTCCAGACCCTGCTTGCCTGGGGATTGCCTGCAGGGGCTGCAGAACAGTGAGCGTTGCTGCTGATTTGTTCTTCTGTTATCTTCGTCCCAGAAGGGTACTGCCAGATATTGGCCAGAGCTCTCCTTTATGGGTTGTCTCTTTGGGTATATGCAGGTTGGGGAGCTGCTTGAGGAGACAGTCTGTCCCTTATAGGAGCTCAAGTGCTATGCTGGAAGCTCCATTGTTCTGTGCAGCATTTCTGGGCAGGTACTTTTAATTCTGCTGCAGCAGAACTCATAACCACCTCTTTTCCCAGGTGCTCTGTCCTAGGAAGATCGGCTTTATTTATAAGTTTCTGTGATGCTGCTGCCTTTTTTCATAGATGCCCTACCCTGCATGGAGTAGTCTAGTCACAGTCTGCCAGCAGAGGTGTTGCTGAGCTGCCACAGGCTCTGTCCAGCTGCTGTGTGAACTGCCTCCATAGTGGTGATAGCTGTTCCTCCCACTGAGCTGGACCATCCTGGGTCCAGCTGCACTTGCTGTGAAACTCTCAGTCTGGAGCATTTCAGATTGCTTGTTTTGTGGGGGTGGTACCCGCCGAGCCAGATTGCCTGTCTTCCTGTCTCTGCCCCTTCCCTTCCAGTTGAATGGGCAACTCTGTTTCCCAGGCATTCCAGACGCCATTTGAAATGGCCGCCTAGATTTGTGTGAGTTTTTGTGTGCCAAGCCGGCACCGGCTGAAACTGCTGTGCTGAAAACTCATGGCACTTTTCGGCCCGGGAATCTCCTGGTCTGTGGGTAGTGAAAATTTGTTTGGAAATGCAGAGGGCACTCACCCTCTGTGTTGTTCTTGCTGGGAACTGTACTCCGGAGCTGTTCCTATTCAGCCCTGTTGGATCCTCATTTTTCTACTCATTCTCTTATCACACATTTACCTAATGCCACAACAGTAGTTTTAACATGTGTGTGTTTATATAGAAAAACAAAGCCTCACAAGCCAATAAAATTAAAATTTTAAAATGCTGAAAGAAAATAAATATCAATGTAGAATTCCCAACAAAAATATCATTCAAGAATGAAGATGAAATGAAGAAGCCATATTGTGACAATAAATACAGAAAACGTGTACTGTCAGCATACTTGGTTTAAAATAAATAAGAAAAGCCACTCTTCAAGCAGAAAGAAAATGATCTCAGATGGAAATGTGGAGATGCAAAATTAATGAAGAATACCAGAAGGGATAAATGAGTAGGTTTGTAAACATTAAATACACAAAACAATAGTAAGAATGGATTATGACATTTAAAATATTTATGGAATTGAAAACAAACCCCCAAATAATGCAAAAGCTGGAGGGGTAAATGGACTTGAAGTGTTGTGAAGTTCTAGCATTACCATGGAAGTAGTAGAAATTATCATTTGAATAGGATTGTAGTAATCAAGGATGTATATTGTAATCTCAAGATTAAAAACTATTGCGAGTATGTTATAAATTAATCAAGAGAAACTAGGATAATCAAAATCTGATCATTCCATGATTTTTTTCCAGTCTTAATATTGGCAGTGATCAATTTTGAAAGATTAAAATTATTTTTATGGAACATTGCATCTAACAATTACAGAGCTGATATTGTTTTCATGCGCACATAGAATATTTGCTAACATTGACCATATACTGAGCCATAAATGAAACCTCAAGAGAAGCCGAAGGGCTGACATGATTTAAAGTATGTTCTCTGTCCACAATGGAATTAAGCTAGAAATAAGTAACAAAAAAGTAACTGGAAAATGTTCAGTAACTAGACCTTAAACCTGACACTTCTAAATAGTTCATCATCAAAGAATAGATCACAATAAGAATTAATATTTTGAACTAAATGACAAAGAATATATGACCTATCGAAATTTATGGCATGAAACTAAAGAGTGCTCAGAGGGAACATTATAACCTGAAATGCTATATTAGAAAAGAAGAAAAACTGACCGTCAGTGATGTCAAGAAGCTATACAAAAAGAACTCTAAATCAAACTTAATGCACCAGGAAGGAAATAAAAAAGGCATTTTAAAAAATTTATACTTTACCATATTTATAATTGATTTAATATTTTTGAACATGGACATGATACAGAATTAAAGCAACTGTGTTACAACCTGAAGACATATGAAATGAAAACATCTTGAAGTATGAGGAATGAAAGCATAGGGATGTCCTCCTAGAACTCCGAGATGCTAAGTATGTAAAATGAATGTGTAACAAGTCCTCTTGCAACCTCCACTTAGACCTTGGAGATCATGAGTGTGAAAAACGAGTTCTCACACAGTCAACTGGCTGAGTAAGTGCCAACAGCATCAAACATCCAGATTCTGTTGTGTGAAAAAGAATAAACTCATACTTGAAAAAAGTAGAAAAAGTCCCACAGGAAGCATCTTACTCAGTGGTGAAAGATAGAAAACTTTCCTTGGATCTCAGGAATGAGACAGGTATGTCTGTTATTCACTTCTTTCAGCATTGGACTGAACATCTTAGCCAGTATAATAAGGCAAGAAAAAGAAATAAGAGAACCTAATGATTGGAAATCAAAAATCAGAACTGTCATTGTGATATCATCATATTCATAAAGACATCCAAAGGAAGCCACAACCTATTGGACCTAATTAATCAATTAGCAAGGTAGCTTGGTACAAAGTCAACATACAGAAAGCATTTATGTATCTACATTCCAGCAACAAACAAGGAGGAAGTAACATTTAAAGTGATATCATGTAAAGTATTAAAAAAACAGCTACCCAGGAATAAATCTAGTAAAAGATAAATCAAGGAAGACCTAAATAAAGAGGGTGATATACCATGTTTATAGATTGAAAGATTTAATATTGTAAAGAGGTCAATTCCCCCAAAATTGGTGCATATATTTAATATCATCCCAATTAAAATCCAGAGGCTTTGTTTTAGAAATTGACAAGCTGAATTTAAAATTTATATAGGACTGCAAAGATCTAAGAATAGTGAAGGCAACTTTGAAAAGCAAAAACAAAGTGGGAAAACATACACCACCAGGTATAAAGGTGTGCTATAAAACTATAGAGATTAAGATAAGACAGATTTAGGGTAAGATAAGAAATAGACCAAGAGAACAGAATACAGCATCCAGAAACACACCTACACAAATACAGTCACATGGTTTATAGCAAGTTGCTACTGTGGTGCAATAGGACAAAAACCATATAAATGGTTCTGGGTCAGCTGGAAGCCCATATAGAAAATCATGTATTTTGACTCCTACCTTATGCTATGTGATAATCAACTCCAAATGGATTGCAGATCTTAAATGAGAAAGGTAAAGCAATAAAGTTTTTTAGGGCTGTCCGGCCCCGTCCCGCCAGCCATGAACTCCACGCAGTTCAACAAGGGCCCCTTGTATGGGCTGTCGGCCGAGGTCAAGAACCAGCTCCTGTCCAAGTATGACCCTCAGAAGGAGGCAGAGCTCCGAAGCTGGATCGAGGGACTCACTAGTCTCTCCATCGGCCCCGACTTCCAGAAGGGCCTGAAGGACGGGATTATCTTATGCACACTCATGAACAAGCTACAGCCAGGCTCAGTCCCCAAGATCAACCGCTCCATGCAGAACTGGCGCCAGCTAGAAAACCTTTCACACTTCATCAAGGCCATGGTCCGCTACGGCATGAACCCCGTGGACCTGTTCGAGGCCAATGACCTGTTTGAGAGTGGGAACATGACGCGGGTACAGATGTCTCTTCTCGTCCTGGCAGGAAAGGCCAAGACTAAGGGGCTGCAGAGCGGAGTGGACATTGGCGTCAAGTACTCGGAGAAGCAGGAGTGGAACTTCGACGACGCCACCATGAAGGCCGGCCAGTGCGTCATCGGGCTGCAGATGGGCACCAACAAATGCGCCAGCCAGTCGGGCATGACCGCGTACGGCACAAGGAGGCATCTCTATGACCCCAAGAACCACATCCTGCCCCCCATGGACCACTCGACCATCAGCCTCCAGATGGGCCCCAACAAGTGTGCCAGCCAGGTGGGCATGACGGCTCCCGGGACGCGGCAGCATATCTATGACACCAAACTGGGAACCGACAAGTATGATAACTCCTCCATGCCCCTGCAGATGGACTACACCCAGGGCGCCAACCAGAGCGGCCAGGTCTTTGGCCTGGGCTGGCAGATAGACTACCCCAAGTAATGCCCGCAAGGCACAGTAGCTGACAGGGCTCCCTCTGATGCTGGCGACTGCCCGGCCCCAGGGGAGGTCCCTGAATATCCCCCTTACCACCAGGAGGAGGCGGGCTACTGAGGCTCCCAGCATGCTCTCTCCCCACATCGTCTCCCCATCTCCCCGTCTGGGTTTTTCTGTGTTTTCATCTTTTTTGTTTGTTTGTTTGAGACGGAGTTTCGCTCTTGTTGCCCAGACTGGAGTGCAATGGCGCGACCTCGGCTCACTGAAACCTCCGCCTCCTGGGTTCAGGCAATTCTCCTGCCTCAGCCTCCCGAGTAGCTGGGATTACAGGCACACGCCACCATGCCCAGCTAATTTTTGTATTTTTAGTAGAAACGGGGTTTCACCATGTTGACCAGGATGGTCTCAATCTCTTGACCTCGTGATCCACCCGCCTCAGCCTCCCAAAGTGCTGGGATGACAGGTTTGAGCCACCGTGCCTGGCCCTGTGTTTTCATCTTTTGTTATTAACCTGTCGAGTGCTGCCAACCAGCCGAGGGTCTGTGAGTGGTTCCTGGGATCAGGCAGCAGGGCTTTCTCCCCCTTGCCTTGGTCCTTCCCAGGACTGATCCACTGGGCTCGGGGCGGGGGGGAAGGGGTCAAGGTTGTATCCTGATACCTGTAGGGTCAGGGTCCCTGCTGGCACATCCAGGCTGTGGGCCGAGCTGTGCTGGGGAGGAGAGGCCTGGGCTTGGAGGGAACGGGTCCCTGAAGATTTCTGGTTGCCTCCTCTCTTCTCACTTTTGTCACCCGATCAGTTTGTGGTTTCTGTACCCGCAAAAATTTCAGGAAGTATTAACAAAAGAAAAATACTCCCCCCTACCACCGCCGCCAAGGAATGGGGCGGGGACAGTGGGGAGGGTGCTGGGCAATGAGTCCCCTGGAAAGGGGGCCTGGCCACGATGTTGAACGTCTCAGGCTTCCAAGTGGCTGGATTTCCCTCCGACCCTCAGACCTGCCCCGGGGCCTGGTGGGGAAAGTGAGGCCTGTACAAGGAAGCGGACTTCTGAGTTGTTGGGGCCAGTGACCCCGTCTCCTTGCTACCCCGCCCTTCCCTTAGCCTCAGTGGGTTTTTTTCAGTTGTTGCTGTTACACAGGCTGGAGTGCCGTGGGGCAATCTTCACTCACAGCACCTCCACCTCCCGAGCTCAATGGATTCCCCTGCCTCAGCCTCCCACATAGCTGGGACTGCAGGTGCTCCACCATGCTGGCAAATTTTTTTATTTTTGGTAGAGACAGGGTTTCACCATGGTGGCCGGGAGACTGCTCCATCTCCTCGGGCAACACACCCCGCCAAGTACTGCACCGGAACGCTCACCCCGGGGCCCTGCTCCATGAGATAATGTGAAACTCAACTGTGGACCAAACGCAATAAAACCTCTGTTTGTGAGAAGAAGAAGAAAAAAAAAGTTTTTTAGAAGAAAACATCGGTGAATATCTTTATCATCTTGGAGTAGGCAAAAATGCATTGAAAAGAACAAAAATACTGAAAACCATACAGAAAAAAACCAGCTAAGATTGGATTATATTAAGAATTTTTCCTTATCAAAAGATACCACAGGCTGGGCATGGTGGCACACACCTGTAATCCCAGCACTTTGGGAGGCCAAGGTGGGCAGATCACTTGAGCCCAGGCATTTGAGACAAGCCTGGGCAACATGGCAAAACCCCATCTCTACACACACACACACACACACACACACACACACGCACAAATACAAAAATTATCCTGGTGTGGTAGTGCATGCCTGTAGTCCCAGCTACTTGGGAGGCTGAGGTGGATGGATTGCTTGAGCCTGGGAGGTCGAGGCTGCAGTGAACCATAATTGTGCCATTGTACTCCAATCTGGGTGACAGAGCAATACCCTGTCTCAAAATATATATATACTACAAGGAGGATGAAAAAGCAGACAAAATTGGAGGAGATGTTTGCAATACATATACTCAACAGAAACTCATATCTAGAATGTATAAAGAGCTCTATAAATCAATGTGAGAGAGACAGACAACTTAATTGAAAAAGGGGGAAAACTTGAGTAGGCACTTCTTAAAAGATGGTATTCAGATACCCAGTGAACACACAAAATATTGAACTTCATCAGTCATTGGTAAATTAAAATAAAATCAACAATTAGATAAAAGGGTACACCCATCAAGAACGGCTAAAATATAAAAGGAAGATGATATCAAGTATCAGTAAGAGTGTGGAACAACTAGACTCTTATTTATTACTGGTCTGGATACAAATAGGTATAATTAATTTGGAAAATACTGCAGTGAACATAGGTATATGAACATATGTCTACCCTCTCACCCTGTGACTTAGCAGTTCTACTCTTAATGATATGCCAAACAGAATTTTGTATAAATTCACTAAAAGATACATGCAAGAATGTTCACAGAAGCACTATTCCTAAGAATCCAAGCTGGAAACACCCAAATCCATTAGCAATAACACTGATAAATAAATGGTGGTGTTTATTCTCAGAGTAGAATAGTAGAAAGCAGTGAGAATGAATAAAGCATAATTATAAGCAACGATAAGAATTGTCGAAGATGAAAGTCTGAAACAAAATGAACAAAGGCTTCATCAACCTATGACAAAAGGACCCATCTATGATCGTGCTTATTTTATTAGCAGTTCAAAGGTGGTAGAAAGGGGAGTTAGTTTCCAAACAGCTAAAAAACAAAGAACCTCTGATTGGCAAGCATTCTATTATGGTAGAATTTTTGGAAGCAGATGAGACTTTCTAATGGGCCTTCAGGTACTTTGACCATCCTTGGTGAACGTCAAGAGGCATAGCTCCCTACTGCCTGACAGAGGAAGTTCCACTCCTATCAAATGGCCTAAAAGCCCACCATGCCCTGGCCCTGCTCTCCTGTCCCTTCCTCTGCTCTCCTGGGGCACCAGCATCCTTTCTGTCCTCCAAGTGCTATGGGCCTTCTTTCTTCCATCTGTGAGATGCTTATCTTCAGTGGCAGAGAATGACAGTATCGGGTAATTCCAGAAAGGAGTATGAAATTAAAAACTGAATTAAACTATGAAAGAAAGCATATAAGGCAAGAATTTGGCTAGATTGAAGGGTTAGGATGGGCTTTTTACAATTTGGTTTACAGTCTGAATAATTTAAAGACGGACAGAGGAGGAGAGAAGAAGAGGAGTTCAGACAGTTGCGACAGTATGTGCAAAGGCCCTGGGGCAAGAGAGGATATAAACAGTATCAGGAATGGAAAGAAAGAACACAGAAAACGCAAGGCAAGCAAGGGTCTCATAGAAAGTGATGAGGATTTTGTTAATACTGAGATAGCACAATACTTAAAGACGACTTAAAATAAGAGCTATTTTAAGCAGGGATGACATGAAAATATTTCATTGGAAAAGTAAACTCTTGACTGCAAGATAGATGGGGGAGCAATTTAGATGCCAGGGGCCTGAGAGAGTGAACTGGGGTGTTGGCAGGGAGGTGGAGAGAGTTGGATACATTCTTGAAAAATGCGGGAGTTAAAACTGACAGAACTTGGTGATAGATTCAATATAGGGGAGGGTGTTAGTCCATCTTCATACTGCTATGGAGAAATGCCTGAGACTAGGTAACTTATAAAGAATAGGAGATTTAATAGATTCACAGTTTCGCATGGCTGGGGAGGCCTCACAATCGTGGCAGAAAGTGAAAGAGGAGCAGTCATGTCTTACATGACGGCAGGCAAGAGAGCATGTGCAGGGGAACTGCCCTTTACAAAACCACCTGATCTTTTGAGATTTATTCACTATCACGAGAATGACATCGGAAGAATCTACCCCATGATTTAATTACCTCCCACTGGGTCCCTCCCATGACACATGGGGATTATGGGAGCTACAATTTAAGATGAAATTTGGGTGGGGACACAGCCAAAGCATATCAGGGAGGAAAAGAAGGTGGGACACCCAGAGTAACACTGGGATTTTGGCCTCTCTGTGGATGGCAGTACCCTTCCTGGGGCGGGGCCTCTGGTGGACTGCCATGTCAGCATGTAGAGCGGAAGGCATGAATCTGTTCTTTTAAGGCAAGTTAAATTTGAGATGTCACGGAGACATTATTAAGTAGAGGGGTCACGTAGGCAGGAGGATATGATGTAGCTTTGCAGTTCAGAAGATAGTTCTGAGCCATAGAAACAATTACGATTCAGACCTAAGTAGTGGATTGGTATTCTTATTATTATCTTTTTAATTTGAGAATTATTACTTGGCTTTCATTTCCTTTTTTCCCCACCCTCTCCTTTTCTTTGGAGGACTTATTTTTATTTTTTCTCTACTTCCCTCTTATCGTCTTGTGCTTCTCTTGACTGAGAGGTTTCCTACATTCTTCGCCTCTATCTCGGGAGGATATAGCTCCTGCCTCTGTTGTCTCTCTTGCTGTATCAGCCTCAGGCTTTATCTGTTGAAAAACAGACAGCAAAGTGAACTGCAGTTACAAGTCATTTGGAAAATGAATGTGGGAAACAGGTTGCTATTCTGGGTGTTGATAATTGTCCAGGGCAAAGGAAGGAGTTGTGGCTGAGCTGCTTTTCTTGTTAAGGCAATGCTAATGCACCTCTCTCCACAGCCCTGGGCTCGAACTGGTGACTCTCAGAGGAAGAATGTGGTTTGTGATCAATTCTGGCTTCTAGTAGGTATTCAGACAGAGCTGGTGGGAACAAGAGGGGAGAAGAGAAGGTGTGAGATGAGGGTTTATTTCCAAGCACATAGAAAAGCACCTGAGAATCATTTTCACGACAAGTCAGTCAGATGAACCAGAATCATAGAATGAGCTGTTCTTTCAAAATAAACTCTACTGGGCAGTATAAATTTAAACAGGAAACTCAAAACCTCTTTGGGCTAGATCTGAATACTGAGGGCAAGCAGGGCCTACAGTAGGAAAAGGATTCCATACTTCAATGGGCAGAATTTTCTAAAACAAAACAAAACAAAAACTGGTAAGTTGGTGCTTAGTTCCAATGTTTTAAAAATTAAAAGTGGGGGTACTCAGGAAGACGTCCCTGTATTGTTCAACAGCTAATATTATAAACAACTGAGGCAGAGAGAAAAAAAATGTGCAGGTCACTTTTCTTGGCAAGTCTATCAGGTTGGCCTCCACTCTGGAAAGTTAAATTATGGCTGTTTTACCCCCTTCCCCCAAAATTCGTGCAGTCAGGTGTGATGATCAGGGTATAACTTTGGGTCCAGTCATGACTTGATTCTTTCTGGGGTGGGGATTGTCTGTGTGACTGTGACAGCCAAGTAGAAACTCAGTATCTCTTAGAGACTCAAGATTTTATTTTTGTCATTGGTAAGATCTCATTTGTTATATTCCCAAATCAACTTATCAATCAACATTGTTAGACCAGTTTGCAACCTTTACTGAGATTATTTTTCCGTTAAGCTTCTTGGGTGTGATGTAGGTGTTCAATGCAAAAAGATACATACACATTTGAATATCTTTATGTGTGCGATCAATGGTTAGTGATTACTGGGGGCTAGGCCTTGTTCTAAGTGATTACAGGGTGTTATATTACGTTTACATTACTTCTTTAAGGTTGATGCTTTTATGATTCCCATATTATGGATGAATAAATAGTGGCATAGATGGGTCAGGTAGTTGCCTGGCTGAGGTCACAGAACTGTAAATGTTCTGGAGCCACGGTTTGACCCAGTGCTGTCTACCCCTGGCACCTGCTATCCTTACCTCTAAACCTCTTCATGGAAGAATAAACATTTTAAAGTGTGTAGTCCTAATGATGTTTTATTTTCTCATAGGAGTGACTGGGTGACATCCTATAAGGTCATGGTGAGCAATGACAGCCATACGTGGGTCACTGTTAAGAATGGATCTGGAGACATGGTGAGTCTCTTCCTCCATCTAATCATGCCTTTGGTGCCTGGCTGGGTGGGGTTTTGCAAAGAGAGGCAAATGTATGATCAATTCCTTGAAGATTTGTGAATTTGTGTCAACTCAAACCTACCATAAGAGTTTTATGGACAGAGACCCCCCCTCCCATGTCCTGAAGCCCAGCAGCAAGTGACACACATTTAGAGCTAATATAAAATTCAGCCTTTACTCCCATCAGGGAACTGGAGGGATCCAGCCTCTTACGCAATTTACAAGTTAGCCCTGGAGGTTTCCTGCATGAGGCCTGCTGGGGCCCCTTGCAGCTGTTCTTAAGAGTTTCCTAACTTCATTTCATGACCTTGGCCTTCTAGTTCCACGATCAGCTCCAGCGTAGTCAGTCCTGATCCCGTCACTGTCTTCTTCAGATTCTCAAGTGCATATTCCTCGCATGGTATCCAATGTCTTACACAGTCTGACTTGTCTGACTGTGGCCTCCTTTTTCAACCTTATTTTTCATTCTTATCCCCTACACAAAGTCCTGTGTCCTTGTAAAAGTGAACCAGCTGCTCTTCTGCCGGTGAATCCCACGTTTAGGCTTCTGTACTCATTGTCCATTTTCTCTGGATACCCTCTCATCCCTATAGATCTAAATAGCTTTCCTTCAATGACAGTTCAAACCACCCCTCTTCCCCAAAACTTTGCCTGGTCCTCTCCATCTTCTGAAATCCCAAAGCTCTCTAGCTGTCCCTTTGCCGTGACACCAACAGATTTTTCCTACAGTGTATAATTACCAGAGCCCCCTCCCACCACAGCAACTAGATGGAGGCTCTGAGGGCAGGATCCAGGTCTGAGTCATTTATTTTTTTCTCTTCGGTGCCCAGCACACATTCGGTTTTCCTCAGTAAGGTCTTGTTGAATGAATGAATTCTGACCCTTTATCCCTTGGTAATTAAGCACTAAAAGATTTTCCTTTTCTCCCTTGAGCATAAATAGATATTTCAAGGAAACAGTGAGAAGGAGATCCCCATTCTTAACGAGCTGCCCGTCCCCATGGTGGCCCGCTACATCCGCGTAAACCCGCAGTCCTGGTTTGATAACGGGAGCATCTGCATGAGAATGGAGATCCTGGGCTGCCCGCTGCCAGGTGAGTCTACCCTCCTGTGCTCCCTGCAGGGTGGGAGCACTAATGGAAAACAGATGCCCAGCCAAGGCAAATAAAGATAAACTAAGCAGGCCAGGCACAGTAGCTCACACCTGTAATCCCAGCATTTTGGGAGGCTGAGGAGAGAGGAACATTTGAGGCTGGAAGTTTAAGACCACCCTGGGCCACAAAGGGAGATCCTATGTCCACGAAAAGAAAAATAAATAAATAATAAAATTGAAAAATTACCCAGGCATGGTGGGGTGAGCCGGTAATCCCAGCTACTTGGGAGGCTGAAGCAGGAGGATCGCTTGAGCCCAGGAGGTCAAGACTGCAGTGAGCTGAAATCGTACCACAGCACTCTAGCCTGGGTGATGGAGTGAAACCTTGTCTCAAAATAATAAAAAGTAATAATGAATCAAGCAATTGTTTACTTGTGTAAAAAAATACATGTCTATTGTAGAATATTTAGAAAACATAGGTAAACCAAAAAGAAAATGAATAAAAATTTCCCATAAGCCCGCAGTGAACAATTGGGCTATGAAAGTCCCGCACCAAGTACAGTTTTGCCTACTGTAATTTTAAGACAATGTGTACAACTCAGAAGTGAGCAAAAAAAAAAAAGTAGAAATTTGAGAGAAGGCATTTGTTTGTCATTGGCAGATCCCACTCCACTGGGTAGTGGCGGTGGGGTAGGAGGTGGTAGAAGTTCATTCTAAACCATTGACATGGTCTTTTTCTGATTCAGTCGCTCCTCTTGGAAGCCTGTGTCTTTGGGTAAAGGCCTACTCAGGTAGTATTCTACTTGCCTTATTTTCACATGATGATATTTGGGGGTAACCTCAGGGTGGCTTGAAAAAAGGGGGTTTGAATTCATCTGTGCCACCTGCCTCTTTGTAATGTCTTCTCTGGACAGTCTTCCCTGTCCTGGCCTTTCAGGGGTTTCAAGCTTGGGCCCAGATGGAGCCTTCAGGCTGCAGCCTCATCTTGACCACACATCTCCAGGGAAGGTGGCTGGCCTGAGATCACCCCTGCAGGGCCTCATGACCTCATGGGGCCTACGGGAGCTTTCATGTTCCTGTCCACTCGCAGTCCACTGTAGGAGATCCATCAGGGTGGTGGGAAAAATGATAGGAAAGACATAAACCTTCTTGGAAGGCTGGGAGATTTTGCAAAAGCTTTGGGAAAGGGTTATTGCTGAAGGCAGCCTGATCCTCTTACCTTGAGCTAATGGCAAAGGGCAGATGACAAGGAAGTGCAAAGGAATTTATCTAGGTAAGTTTGTTTACCTATTTCTCCAGAAATTGATCATCCACATGCCAGACTGCCCCCCACTTGGGAGAGTCGACAATGTTAATTACCCACAAATGGTGTTTGCTCTAGGCCTTTGTCATTAAATCTGTACTAAATAAATGTGAGCATCGCTGGCTTATCAAGGCCACTGCTGGTGCTGCTGCCAGCAGTCCCCTAGCCTCGCTGACAGGCAAAATACCTGTATATGCATACTCTATTCTTCTGCCACTCTGCTGTAGTCTGCGGGACAGACTCAGCAGTCCACCCAGGCCATGGGGACATGAGGAACAGTTATCGCTCAGCCCCCAGACTCTCCAGTGACGCCTTCCCACTCCTGGCCAGTGTGAGGTATGGGCCTGGCTACCTGTAGGATTCTCAGTCCCTCCCAGTACTGCCTCAGGCAGGGTACCAGCTCTGATGCTATTTCTATAGTAACCCCTCTCCAGGGGGTTACTCCATTTAATGCAAGTACAATAAATGAACTTATACTTACAGTAGTTTCGAAGCATATTGGAGGTCATTTAATTGTTTTTCTCGCAATCCCATAGTATTCATGATCTTGCTAGCCAACCACAGATTTTTATAATACAAACTTCATACCGGTGAGAAAGCCTACCTGCTTACCCTCACGCTGGACATGCTTTTGTTTTATATTTATGTGTACTTATCCAATTGTGAATCCTTTTTCATGTCATCAAAACCATTAGAGACGATTTGTCTTTGGGAAGCTTCTCCCCTAGCCTGTGGACAAAACCCCTTGTGTTCAATCTGCCGCAGACAGTTGGAAATTCAGTTGTTTCCAGTCACTGGATTCCGAAAACAATCCTACAAAGAACATTTTTGTTTCTCTGCCTTTCTTTTGTGTGTGTCCACAATTACTTCCTAAAATTAGATTATGATAATTAGATTACGATGAGCAGGAAGACTGTACCCAGGTTCAAGGCTGATGCACAGAGATGTTGAAGCCCTGGTTGATTGCAGGTCTGTGTTAAGAAAAAAAACTCTTTCTGGGTCTGCAAGTGGCATCGTTTTTCCTCCATCTGGGAACCAGAGGGGTTTCAAATGTAAAGTTCTTTGTCTGACCTTCCCGCATGCGGGCTAGGTAGAGAAATCCAGGAAAGCCTCTTTGTTCAAAGGCCTGCCGAAAGCTCTGGGAGGAGGGAGTTCTGCTGGGGGACCAAGTAGCCAAATCCAGTATCAAAGTCAAAGATCAATCACTCCAGAGGAAGTTTGAAAGAACTCCTCTCATTGGACGAGAACATGAATGGGGCAGGAATAACTTCAGGGTTAAAATCCCGCTTCTTCTTACCTATACGGATTCCTCCCTTGGATCCCCTCTCATGGGAGTGTGGGAGCTGTCTCTCTCTCTCTCTCTCTCTCTCTCTCTCTCTCTCTCTCTCTCTCTGTCTAATAAATTGCTCTCTGCAAAGCTCTTTGAGTCCCTGATATTTATTTGAAGGGTAAGCTCACCGTGCCTCCATGGCCCCTTTCTCCATTCTTGGAGTAAGAGAGGCCAAGGACCTGGGCACGTCGGGGAACTGGGAGCGTCTTCAAGGTGCCCCTGCTCCCTCCCCTGCTTACATGATCGCCTCCTTCTGTGGCAGGCCGGTGCAGAACTGCCTCAGGACTGGTCACAGCATCCTAGACCTGCTGGGTTCTCCAGCACAGGGTGACTGTGGGCACAGGTATCTTCAGAGAGGCAATTCTGGGCTCTGACCTTCTTGATGCCAGCCCAGGAGTCTTGTTCTCCCGTTCTGCTCAGCATAGCCTTGGTCTGCTTGCTTGAAAAATTAGGGCCATGGCTTTTCTTTGTGGGTAGGAATTCATCTGTTGTTGGCAAAGGGCAAAGGGCAGCCTGCAAGAGTCTCAAGAAATAAATATTTCCCTGTGAAGTTATTCTTAGTGTGTATCTGTTTGAAGATGGGCCCTGGAGGTCCTTTAAACACTCACAAATTCAGGGTTACATTGTGAAATTTGAATTAACGTATGGTCTCAGAATGGTTCTATTTTCCACCCCGCAAATATTGAGGCCAATTTTTTTTTTCTAGACGTTACTTAGCAGTTTGGGCAGAGGGGAATGGCTGTTCATGCATGCTGCCTGGTGGGGTCATATCCACTGAGAGGGTGGCTCAGGGTCCCAAAATGAGTCTTGCTCATCACCCTGGTGCTGGGAAGATTCCTCTGTAAAAGTTAATTAGGCCAGAGCCCGGGATGACCCAAGGTGATCTCATGGTTGAAATGCTGCCACCCTGAGTCTGCACTTCCCAGGCCTCTCTCTCATGAAACATTCATTTACCTTTGCTTCTGCGTCTCTTTGTTCTGTCCCTTTCTTCCCGCACCGTTTTCCTGTGAACTCTCTGGTGGGGCGGAGGAGGGTGCTGGTGCTTTTTAAGACTCTACGCATAATGTTTCCAGAAATTTTTGAGCTGGAAAGTGAATTACCATATACCATGTTCT